CTGGTCCTGTCTGGGTGGGTGAGCCGTAGTCAGAGAAGGTGGCAGCCCGTAGGGTTTTGGAGGATGCGTAGGAGTCTGCCGGCCGAACCAACGGGGTCAAGCCAAGTGGTCCAGGACGAGGAGACAGCGCGGACGGACAGGCTGGGTGTGTGCATGCGAGCGTGCGACCACGGAGCGTGTGTTGGGAACTCCGGAGCGGAAGGCAGGGAAGTGGTAAAGCCGTGTGGCTGGCATTGTGGGCGGGGCGGCCGCAGGTCAGCTGGCCCACGCAGGGCTGAGGGCTCAGACCTGGGCCAGGGCCACGGGGAGAGAGCGCGATCCTGAGAGAGAGAGAGAGAGAGAGAGAGAGAGAGAGAGAGAGAGAGAGAGAGAGAGAGAGAGAGAGATCCTGCTGCCCACATCCTGCCTGGGGGCCCCGCCTCCCACCCCCCTCTGCCCGCTGTGAGCTGCCCGCGCCTCCCTCCTCCCACCCCAGCCGGGTCCTCCAGGGGAGACTGGCGGCCAGCTACCTCCTGCTCCGACCCCTGCCCCCCACCTGCTGGCGAGCCCAGGACAACCCGCAGAGGTAAATGAAGGCCCCCAAACAGCGGGACCTGGGGGCGGGGGGGCGGGGCCTCCGAGGCCGCACAGACGTGAGCTCACATCCCGGCTGGCCCTCTGCTCTGCCTGCTTTGATTCTTAAAAAAAAAATTATATATATATATATATATATGCAATTTTATTTTATTTTATTTATTTATTTTTTGGGGGCAGAAACCAGTTTGGCTCAGTGGATAGAGCGTCGGCCTGCGGACTGAAAGGTCCCGGGTTCGATTCTGGTGGAGGGCATGCACCTTGGTTGCGGGCACATCCCCGGTGGGGGGGGTGCAGGAGGCAGCTGGTCGATGTTTCTTTCTCATCGATGTTTCTAGCTCTCTATCCCTCTCCCTTCCTCTCTGTAAAAAAGCAATAAAATATATATATTTTAAAACACAGAAAGAAAGAAAGAAAGAAAAAGAAAAAGAAAAAGGGGGTTGGAGGGAGGGTCCAAGGTAGGGCAGCCAGGGAAGTGTGGGGATGGAAGCTTCAAGGATTCCCCCTCTCCCTCGGCCCCCTTTCCCCCCCCCCAACACACACACACTTTGCGGAACCCGCGGCCCTCCTGGAACTGGGCTGCAGTCTGACTGGGAAGGTGGTCCAACACTGCCCCTATGTGGCGACTCCGGGTATTGCAGCCAAGGCTCCCATCAGTAAGACTGTCCGAACCAGGAGGCAAGTACCGAGCCTGCAGAACCTCAGGCCCAAAGGGCGGGCGGTCCCCGGCCCACAGGGTAGCGGAACTGTGATTCTAACCCCCAGGCGGAACGCGCTGGTCCTTTCCCCGGAAGCCCAGCGTGTCCGGTCATCCCCTGGAGAGGCCGCCTGCTCCCACCTCCAGCTGAAAAGCAATGGCTTCTTTTCTCTCCTCCGTGCTCTTCCACCCAAAGGTGGAGTGACGTCTCCCTCTCTGAACAGACTCCCTCTCACCCCTCAAAACCCAGCTCAAATTCTGGGTCCCTATCCTCAAATCTGAGAATGTGGACCCCCAGCCCCTCCTCCCTCAGACCCAGGAGTCCAGGCCCCCAGTCCCTCCTCCCTCAGACCCAGGGGTCCAGCCCCTCCTCCCTCAGACCCAGGGGTCCAGGCCCCCAGCCCCTCCTCCCTCAGACCTAGGAGCCCCGCCCCTCCTCCCTCAGATCCAGGAGTCCAGGCTCCCAGCCCCTCCTTTCTCAGATCCAAGAGTCCAGGCCCCCAGCCCCTCCTCCCTCAGACCCAGGGATCCAGGCCCCCAGCCCCTCCTCCCTCAGACCCAGGAGTCCAGGCCCCCAGCCCCTCCTCCCTCAGACCCAAGAGTCCAGGCCCCCATCCCTCCTCCCTCAGACCCAGGAGTCCAGGCCCCCAGCCCTCCTCCCTCAGACCCAGGAGTCCAGGCCCCCAGCCCCTCCTCCCTCAGACCCAGGGGTCCAGGCCCCCAGCCCCTCCTCCCTCAGACCCAGGAGTCCAGGCCCCCAGCCCCTCCTCCCTCAGACCCAAGAGTCCAGGCCCCCATCCCTCCTCCCTCAGACCCAGGAGTCCAGGCCCCCAGCCCTCCTCCCTCAGACCCAGGAGTCCAGGCCCCCAGCCCCTCCTCCCTCAGACCCAGGGGTCCAGGCCCCCAGCCCCTCCTCCCTCAGACCCAGGGGTCCGGGCCCCCAGCCCCTCCTTTCTCAGATCCAAGAGTCCAGGCCCCCAGCCCCTCCTCCCTCAGACCCAGGGGTCCAGGCCCCCAGCCCCTCCTCCCTCAGACCCAAGAGTCCAGGCCCCCAGCCCTCCTCCCTCAGACCCAGGAGTCCAGGCCCCAGCCCCTCCTCCCTCAGACCCAGGGGTCCAGGCCCCAGCCCCTCCTCCCTCAGACCCAGGAGTCCAGGCCCCAGCCCCTCCTCCCTCAGACCCAGGGGTCCAGGCCCCCATCCCTCCTCCTTCAGACCCAGGGGTCCAACCCCCAACCCTTCCTCCTTCAGACCCAGGAGTCCAGGCCCCCAGCCCTCCTCCCTCAGACCCAGGAGTCCAGGCCCCCATCCCTCCTCCCTCAGACCCAGGAGTCCAGGCCCCCAGCCCCTCCTCCCTCAGACCCAGGGGTCCGGGCCCTCATCCCTCCTCTCTCACACCCAGGGACCAGGCCCATGGACAGAGCCGCCGAGGTGTTGGCACGGAGCCGGCTGTGCTGACTCAGTCACATTTATTAGGTCTCAGAGGCCAGAGCCATGGTCGGGCGGAGCCAGGGCTCAGGGATTAAGCCGTCCGGTGTCTTCTCTTTCTCAGCGCTGAGACTAGGAGAGGAGGAGACACAGGCAGGCAGGCAGGGACGTGGAGAGGGGAGGCGGGCACCCGCGGACAGAGCCGCCCGCCGCCCCTCCCCGGAGCTCACCTTGTTGAAGAAGTAGATGGAGGTCAGGATGGTGAACATGGCGATGGCCAGCGTCACGTTCTGTGGGGAGCGGGAGGTCAGGGCCTGTCCCTCCCGCCCCCCAGCCCCGCCCCGCCCTCCCTGTCCCACCGGACCCGCCCTTACTTCTTGGAAGTTCATGGCCATGAATCCTCAGGGCAAAGATGCTTGACCTCCCTGAGCTGCTCTTGGGCCTCTGAGGGAGGGGAGGACAGCCAGCCACCAGAACCTCAGAGGGTTGTCTAGGAGACCAGAATGGTGGCCATGGTGATGGGCAAGGACATTCTGGGTAGAGGGGCCATGATGGGGGGCAGAGGCTTGGGGGGGCCAGGAATGTCCTATGGGGGCCCGGCTGGGGTGGCTCAGGGGTTGAGTGTCAACCTATGAACCAGGAGGTGGCGGTTTGATTCCCGGTCAAGGGCCCATGGCCGGGATTGCGGGCTCCATCCTCGGTGTGGGGCGAGCAGGAGGCAGTGGGTCAATGATTCTCTTTCATTATGGATGTTTCTCTCTCTCTATCCCTCTCCCTTCCTCTCTGATATCAAGAAAGTATATTAGAGAGAGAGAGAGAGAGAGAGAGAGAGAGAGAGAGAGAGAGAGAGAGAGAGCCGAAACCGGATTGGCTCAGCGGATAGAGCATCGGTCTGCGGACTGAAGGGTCCCAGGTTCGATTCCGGTCAAGGGCACGTATCTCGGTTGCAGGCACATCCCCAGTAGGGGGCGTGCAGGAGGCAGCGGATCGATGTCTCTCTCTCATCGATGTTTCTAGCTCTCTGTCCCTCTCCCTTCCTCTCTGTGAAAAATCAATAAAATATATATTAAAAAAAAAAACACCTGCCTTCCTTTGTTCGGGCTGCTGTCCCAGAATACCAATAAAATGTACAAACCAAACCAAACCACAGAAAGCAATAAAGGACACCGGTTAGTTGTTACTGCCCAAAGCCCTGTCCGGCAGCGTGGCAGGCGTGCGGAATGCATCGGAACGCACTTACCCCTCAAGGCAGCGCCCAGAGGCACAGGCCCGGCTCCCTCTCATTCTGAGGCACCCAGAGGGGCAGCACCTCGCCCACAGCCACACAGCTCGCAGGTGGTGCGGCTGGGGTTCGAACCCGTCGGTCCAACGCCAGGTGGCTCTGGCCGGCTGTGAGTGAACACCCCGCCGGCCCTTTCCCGGAAGAAGGTGGAGACGCCCTGCCTACGGGGAGAGCAGACGGGGGTGCGGCACCTGAGGGCAGAGCAGAGACTGGGAGTCTGGGGGGTGGGGTGCGGGTGGAGGTCTCCTTGCTTCTGAAGGGCCCAGGCTACGGGGCACCTGGGTTCAAGTCCCAGCGCTGCCTGCCACTCAGCTGTACTCCTTCAGTCAGGTTCGTAACCCTCCCGTGCCTCGGTTTCCCCATCTGCACAGCGGGGACGGGGATCATCGTAACGGCACCTCCCGGGCTGGCTGTGATAACAGTGAAATGGATTAGCCCAAGCTGGTTTGGCTCAGTGGCTAGAGCATTGGCCTGGGGACTGGAGGGTCCCAGGTTCGATTCCGGTCAAGGGCACATGTCTGGGTTGCAGGCTCAATCCCCAGTAGAGGGCATGCAGGAGGCAGATGATCAATGATTCACTCTTATCATTGATGTTTCTATCTTCCTCTCCCTCTCTGAAATCAATAATAATATTTATCCATCTATCTATATTAAAAAACAATGCCGAAACCGGTTGCGGACTGAAAGGTCCCAGGTTCGATTCCAGTCAAGGGTATGTACCTGGGTTGCGGACACATCCCCAGTAGGGGGTGTGCAAGAGGCAGCTGACCGATGACTCTCTCTCATCGATGTTTCTAACTCTGTATCTCTCCCCATTCCTCTCTGTGAAAAATCAATAAAATATATTAAACACATACACACACAAAAAAACAAACTAACTAACAAACAAATGAAAACAACAATGAAATGGATCCGTCCACAGGGTAGCCCGAGGCTGGCCAAGGCCGGGGAGCCGGCTGCGGGGGGCGTGCCGGGACCTGCTCCGGGCGGGCGGGCGGGCGGGCGGGCGCTGGGCCGTAATGGGCAGGTGGGGCTGAGGCGCAGACGGCGGCTGAGCTCAGCGTCTGGCTGTGCGGACATGGCCGGGCCGGGCTTTGGGGGCCACCCCGTCGGACCGCTCCTGCTCCTGCTGCTGCTGCTGCCCCAGGCCCTGGTGGAGGGACCCTTGGTGTTCGTGGCTGTGGTGAGGTGCCCCCGGACCCAGCCCAGGCCCCCCCGCCCCCCGCCCTCCCCCAGGCCGCCCTGACCGGTCCCCTCCCCAGGTGTTCCGCCATGGTGACCGGGCCCCGCTGGCCTCCTACCCCACCGACCCGCACAAGGAGGCCGTGTCCGCGCTGTGGCCGCGCGGCCTGGGCCAGCTGACCGCGGTGAGGGGCTGGGGCGCGGGTGGGGGGCGGGGAGGCCGGCGGGGGGGGGGGGGCAGCTGAGCCTGCTCTGTCCCCAGGAGGGGGTCCGCCAGCAGCTGGAGCTGGGCCGCTTCCTGAGGAGTCGCTATGACGCCTTCCTGAGCCCCGAGTACCGGCGGGAGGAGGTACTGCCATGCGACCTTCACCTGGCCCCCTGACCTCCCACCTCTGACCCCTGCTGGCTCCCATGCTCCCCTGGGGCCTCCGCCTCTGGCCTTTGATCCCCGTCCACGTGACCTGGATCCCCGTCCACGTTCTGACCTCTGATCTTGAATCATCGATTTCTGACCTCGTCCCAACCTGAGTCACACCTTGACCTCTGACCCCTGACCCCCATCCACTCTAGCTTTGTGTTCTGGCCTTTACCTCTGGTCTTCTCATTCTCACCAACACCAACCAGACCTGCTGACCTCCACCCTCTCACTTCAAAACTTGACCGATGCTGTCTTTAACCTTCATTGAGTCAACTTGCCCTCCTGACCTCAGACCTTTGACCTCGACCTCGACCCTTCGCCAAATCTTTCTTTTCCTCTCTCCTCTTCTGTCTTGTGACATCCCCTCCTTAGGATCGTTCCTCCTGACCTCTGACCCCTGACCCCCGACAGACATGTACTGACCTCTGACCCCGTGTCCTCCATCCCGCTCTCCTATTCTTGGCCTCCAGCTTCCAGCCAGCATCCATTCTGATCTTCCTTTTGGACTTTCCGTGACTCAGCTGACCCCCTCAATCCTACACACCCACCCAATCCCCGACCTCCAACCCGGCTGCTCCTGCCACTGACCTCTGACCCTTGATCCCAACTCCCAACACTGAGGTTCAGACATTCACATCTGACCTGATTTAAAAAAAAAATATTTTTAATTGATTTTTTACAGAGAGGAAGGGAGAGGGATAGAGAGCTAGAAATATCGATGAGAGAGAAACATCGATCAGCTGCCTCCTGCACACCCCCCACTGGGGATGTGCCCGCAACCAAGGTACTGTACATGCCCCTGACCGGAATCGAACCCGGGACCTTCCAGTCCGCAGGCCGACGCTCTATCCACTGAGCCAAACCGGTTTCGTCCTGACCTGATGTTTTGACTCCTGCCCCCTGTCAACCCCAAAGCGAATCCAAAGCTTTGCGGCTAACCTCCGACCCGGACTGTGGCCCCCTTGTGACTGCCGCCCCCTCGCCTGCACCCCCCCCCCCCCCCCCCCGCCCCAGGTGTACATCCGCAGCACGGACTTCGACCGGACGCTGGAGAGCGCTCAGGCCAACCTGGCGGGGCTGTTCCCCGAGGCCGGCCCGGGGCGCCCCGAGGCCGCCTGGAGGCCCGTCCCCGTGCACACGGTGCCGCTCGCCCAGGACAAGGTGGGGGTGGGGCAGGCCTGGGTGGGGCCGGACCCGGGTGGGAGGCGTGGGGAGAGGGAGGCCCCCAGGAGGGGCGGTGCTGGGCTTGGCGGGCGGCTCCCGGGAGCCCGAGGGGGAGCCGCAGGAGCTCCGGGGGCCAGTTGTCCGGTGGGTGAGCCTGTCCCCCATGCTGGGCAGCCACAGCCCCGACGCCCCCACCGTCCCCTGCTGCCCTCTCTGAGCCTCAGTTTCCCCCAGCTGCTGAGGTTCCCCACGCGCTCCTGCCCCCGGTACCGCGAGCTGCTGCGGGAGGCCACGGAGGCCCCGGCGTACCAGAGGGCGCTGGAGGGCTGGGCGGTGAGCGGGCCGTGGGCGGGGGCGGGGCGGCGGGAGGAGAGGGGGCGGGCGGGCGTGGGGGTCCCCCAGCCTCACCGGCCCGTCCAGCAGGACTTCCTGCCTCACCTGGAGAACTGCACCGGGCTGTCCCTGGTTGGGGAGCCGCTCCGCAGGGCGTGGAAGGTTCTGGACACGCTGATGTGCCAGGTGAGCCCCCACCCCGCCCACGCCTCCAGCCTCGCAGCTCCGTGCCCATGCCCACGCCCCCGCAGGCTGGTCACTCAGGCCCTGGCGCCTCCGTTTCTCCGTGGGCACCGTGGGGCTGGGGTTGCTGTGAGAATCAAAACGGGTCAATCCATGCAGGCAACGTGCCACACTCGGGTTCAAGGCTACCTGGTGGCAATTCCTCTTTGTGGCTCTATTGTCCCCTGGCATGGCCTGGAGCTCTCTCTCTTTAAAAAAAAATAAAAATGTATTTTATTGACTTTTTATAGAGAGGGAGGAAGGGGAGAGGGATAGAGAGTTAGAAACATCCACGAGAGAGAAACATCCATCAGCTGCCTCTTGCACACCCGCCCCCTCCCCCCCACCGGGGATGTGCCCACAACCAAGGTACGTGCCCTTGACCGGAATCGAACCCGGGACCTTTCAGTCTGCAGCCCGACGCTCTATCCACTGAGCCACACCGGTTTCGGCGGCCTGATGCTCTTCTTAGGCTTGGCTTCCCCCACTTGCTGGGAATGTTCCCAACCGCCCGTTGGGACTAGCAATGTGGGTGATTAGGGGGCTGCCTCAGACCCCCCCGTGATGCTAGGAATTTCTGTGGGACTGGCACCATGAGACGGCGCCCAAGTCCCAAATGGCTGAATTCTGAAACACCTCTGGCCCCGGGTCTCATAAAGGCTGCCGGACTGCGGGGTGATGGTGAATACTAGAAATAATCGCTATTGGCCAAGCCACCACTTCCTGACCTGGCCAGCCAGCCCCAGCGGGGTTCAGATGGGAGGGGGGGGGCGGCGCACGGGGAGAGGATGGCAGGATCACGCACAGGCCTTGGGAGGGCGAGGGGACACCCGGTCGCATTGTCCTCTCTCCCTGTCTCTCCCCAGCGAGCCCACGGTCTCCCCCTCCCGTCCTGGGCCTCCCCGGATGTCCTGCAGACACTAGCCCAGATCTCCGCCCTGGACATCGGGGCCCACGTGGGCCCACCCCGGGCAGCAGAGAAGGCCCAGCTGACAGGGGGTGAGGTGTGGGGCGGGGGGCGGGGGGCTGCCGGCCGGGCACCTCTCTCTGGGGGTTCTCAGCACCCCGGTCTTGCTCCCTCAGGGATCTTGCTGGACGCCATCCTTGCTAACTTCTCTCGGGTCCAGCGCCTGGGGCTGCCCCTCAAGATGGTGATGTACTCGGCTGTGAGTTTTTGGCAAGGGCCTGGGGGGCGGGTGGTTGTTGGGGTGAGGAGGAAGAGCCAGTGGTCTCCATGGGACCTCGGCACTGCCTTGGGTAGCTCACAGCTGCAGACATATCACTAGAGGTATAGCGCCTGGAAGGAGGGAGGGGATGGAGTTCTGAGAAAGAATTCAGCTCCTCTGGGAGGGCAGGCGGTTGAATTGAGCTGTCCGATCATATTGTGCATCCATTTGACCAATGTTTGTGTTTTTTTTTTAATAATATATTTTAATATATTTAAAAAATATATATTTTATTGATTTTTTTTACAGAGAGGAAAGGAGAAGGATAGAGAGTTAGAAACATCGATGAGAGAGAAACACCGATCAGCTGCCTCTTGCACACCTCCTACTGGGGATGTGTCCACAACCCAGGTACATGCCCTTGACCGGAATCGAACCCGGGACCTTTCAGTCCGCAGGCCGATGCTCTATTCACTGAGCCAAACCGGTTTCAGCTATTTTTATTGATTTTTTTTTACAGAGAGGAAGAGAGAGGGATAGAGTGTTAGAAACATCGATCAGCTGCCTCTTGCACACCTCCTACTGGGGATGTGCCCGCAACCACAGTACATGCCCTTGACCAGAATTGAACCTGGGACCCCTCAGTCTGCAGGTCGATGCTCCATCCACTGAACCAAACCGGTTTCAACAATTAAAAAAAAAAAAAAAATTATATATATATATATATATATATATATATATATATATATATATATATAAATTTCAGAGAGGAAGAGGGATAGAAACATCAATGATGAGAGAGAATCAATGATTGGCTGCCTCCTGCACGCCCCACACTGGGGATCAAGCCCACAACCTGGGCATGTGCCCTTGAACCAGAATCCAACCTGGACCGCGTGGTTCACAGGTTGACGCTCAACCACTGGGCCACCGGCAGGGCCACTTGGCCAATCCGTATTAAATGACCCCCTGTACCAGGTGGGACTGCCTCCAGGGTGAGCAGATTTGGGGGCTGGGGTTCCCAGGGGCCTGGGGGCGTCTGGGAGGCAGGATACTAGGGTGCAGGGGAAGGGGTCGCCAGGGGAGGGGGGAGGAGCCAGCTCAGCCTTCATCTGTTGGCAGCACGACAGCACCCTGCTGGCCCTCCAGGGGGCCCTGGGCCTCTACGACGGGCACACCCCGCCCTACGCTGCCTGCCTGGGCTTCGAGTTCCGGAGGCGCCTGGGGGACCCCGAGGAGGACGATGAAGATGCAGGGTGAGGAGCGGGGCACCTGGGAATGGGCGGGCAGAGCTTTTGAGAGGAGGGGTGATGGCGGGCAGAGGACAGCCCAGGCACGGCCTGGAGCCCAGCCCCTCCATTTGCACGCTCTGGTCTAGATTTGGGGTCAGCGGTGGGGGCGGGGAGGCTGGCTGCCATGACCCCTCTCTCTGCAGGAATGTCACCGTCTCCCTCTTCTACCGCAACTCCACCGGCCTGCCCCTCAGCCTCAGCCTCCCTGGGTGCCCAGGGCCCTGCCCGCTGGGCCGCTTCCACCAGCTGACCGCCCCGGCCCGGCCCCCAGCCCACGGGGTCCCCTGCCACGGCGCCCACGAGCCTGCCTCTCCCACAGGTGAGGCCCTGGGTGCTGGGGTGGGGTCAGGAGGGTTCCAGTCCCGAGACTCACCCCTCATGTTCTCCCTGCAGCCACCATGGTGCCCCTGCTGGCTGGGGCTGTGGCTATGCTGGCGGCGCTCTGCACGGGGCTGGGGCTGCTGGCCTGGAGACCCGGCTGCCTGCGGGCCTGGGGGGACCCCGTGTGAGCCGCGAAACTGGGCACCCCTCCCCACTGCCGACTCTGGACCCCAACACGTGTGCTCACCAGCTGTACCAGCTTCTGTGACTTCCTGTGTGCGCCTGTATGTGTGTGTGGACGGACGCACAGGGCCCCTAGCCTGTTAGTCACAAGTGGTTGTGTGCGCGCATGCACGTGCATGCAGTTCATGCTCAGATGTCTGGATGGTTCTGCACTTTAACGTGTGCACTTCCTGCATGTGATAGCACATGCCTGTATGTCGACAGGCCCCTACGCACACGTGCAGTCTACATTGGTATGTGAAGGTGCCTCTCGGGGCGTCCTGATGTCTTTCTCTACATACACGATGGCATGTAGCGAGAAACAAGGCTGAGTCCTCTTGGACGCCATGTCCAGGAGACAAGCAGCACCTCCAGCCCTCTAGGCCCCTGGGGAGGGGTCAGGCCTGTCTTGTATCTGGAGCTGAGCCCGGCCCCAAGGCTGCCCAGTGCCCAGCCTGAGGCTGCACAACTCGGGAAGCCACTCGCCCCTGTGCTCCCATCTCAGGGCGAGTCGGACTGCAGCACCTCTGAAATTCACCTCCCAGGACCGCCATGCGGCATTTAAATAAAATGTCAGTCAGGTCCCAGCCACATCCCAGCGGCTCAGGTGCCATACGTGGCTGGTGTGGTGGGCCCAGGACTCATAGCACTCATGCTCCTGCGGCCACTGCCCTCCCCACCAGCCAGGCATCAGGCTCAAGTGTGTGAACAGCCCGGATTAGAACACTGGGGGGTGGGGTGTTGGTGTGTGGCAGGCAGCCAGTCACCCAGTGCCCACTACATAGGGTAGTCGGAGAATTGGAGGTTGTGGCTAGAAGTCAATCCCAGCTACCAGGACCCTCTAACCCTCCCGAGGGAAAACGGGCTGCAGAATCCCCTGGGCTATGAGAGGAGAAAGCTGGGGCTACCAACAGAGCCTGGCCAAGGCCTACCCAATGCCTAGCATTGTGGGCAGGGCTCAGGCGCAGTCACCTGCCATCACACCCATCGCTGATGCTGGACAGGCCTTAGAAGGGAGACAGCCACACCCAGAATCCCCTGCACTGGGTCCTGGGAGGGACCAGCTCCTTCTCACTCAGGGAAGGCTCACCTGAATTCCAGGGTTTCCCTGCCCTGCTGCAGGGGCGGCTCCCAGGAACTGGCGGAGCCTGGCCCTCTCGGCAGGGCCCACGGAGACAGGCCCGTGCCCAGAACCCTGCGCCATGAGGGTGCTGGCAATGCCTTGGCACGGGGGCCACACCCAGCACCACAGTTCATGGCAGCGATGCGCACCACGTAAGCCCTCACCCCCACCCCCACCCCCAGCGGGATTCCTGGTGCCAACACTGAACCCAGACACTGGCCAGAAACCACACATGCAGCTGGACACGGCGGCTGGCCTGGCAGTCCCTTCTCCCGGTGAGCAAACAGCAAGCCGGCTTCAGAAGGGAAAGGAGTTACAAACAAAAGACCTAAGAGAAAAACCAAGACAAATGAGTGTGCTTAGAACTGAAGTGTCGTATATGCTTACGTACTTAAAAAAAAAATTAAAAATATTGATTTTTTTTTTACAGAGAGGAAGGGAGAGAGCTTGAAACATCGATGAGAGAGAAACACTGACCAGCTGCCTCCTGCACAGCCCCCCTGGGGATGTGCCCGCAACCAAGGTACATGCCCTTGACTGGAATCGAACCTGGGACCTTTCAGTCCGTAGACCGACTGTCTATCCACTGAGCTGAAATGGTTTCAGCTATGCTTAAGTATTGAGTGAAAACAATGCATTAACAAGTAAAAACAGCACAAGCTTCGTGTGGTAGGCCATGGGGTCTCCCCGCTGGGCTTATAGTGCTTTGGGGCCTGAGGGGGGCCCACCCACATGCCATTTTGGCTGGAATGTAAGAGACCTGCTGGCTTCTCCATGGAACCCAGGTAGCTAGCTCCCCTCCACCAGCTCTGGCCAGGGACACCCATGAGGTAGTGAGGATGGTCTGCCCATAAAAAACTCAAGGACAGCCTTAGCCAGCATGGTTCAGTGGATAGAGCATTGGCCTGCAGACTCCATCTCCAATAGAGGGTGTGCAGGAGGCAGCCGATCAGTGATTCTCATCATTGATGTTTCTCTCCCTCTCTTAAATCTATATACATACATACATATACACATCTTAAACACAGAACAGATGGGCGGTCCCTCAGGGGACTTTACATGCTCCCAAACCAGCCCCCTGAGCTCTGGAAATTAGGGCTCAGTCCCACAGGCCTGGATGTAGTAAGGCGGACGCCATGTCCCAGGAAGATCTTGGTGGACTCCTGGGACACACCTGGCTCAGAGGCAGGCGGTCTTTGACCTGATCTCTTCTGGATCTCCACCAGCGCCTCCAGCACCGTCATGTCATTGCCTGGCAGGTCGGCCAGCTGCAGCTGAAACTGGGGGTTGCTGGCCAGTGCCATTAGGCGCTGATACATGTCCCTTGTGAAGGGCATATCCTCGGGTGCAGGACATGGAGCCTGCTCAAACGCAGGCTCATGGTAGATCCACTGCAGCATGCCCAGCTGGCGCACCAGCGGCATAGCCTGCTCCATGGTGAACCAGGTCCTGAAGGGGTCCTCGAAGTGCAGGAAGGACGGCCAGCGCTGGCGCCAGGCCTTCAGCAGCCAGACGAGCAGTGCCGTGGGCCCGATCCACTGCCGATCCCTGCAGAGGCAGTTGAAGATGGCGTCGCTGGTCAGGTTGCCCAGCAGTGCCAGCTCCCGGAAACTCAGGACCAGGGCCAGGCCGCCTTGGTCATACACCCGCAGAATCCAGGCCACCATGTGCTCTTCGGGCTCCTGCCTGAAGTGCTGTGCAATGGCCAGGAGCTCGGTGTACGTGTAGTGGTGGTGCGCCTGCCCCTTCGTGCTCTCGGCCATGGTCACAGCTGCCCTGGAGGGAAACAGCAGGAAGCCTGAGGGGTGCTTCTACAGGAAGCACAGGGGCACAGGGACACAGGGGCACCAGGCGTGGGAAACTAGTTACAGCCCACCACACTTCCCCGGAGCTGGGGCCCCTCAGACCCCTGGGTGTCAAAGGTCCCAGGGGGCACAGAGTCCTCAGGAGAGGTCAGAGCCCAGTGCTGGACATCACGGGGGCCCCAAGCACAGCCCCTCCTATTTAAACCTCCCGGAACCCAATGGTATCACTGTGAAGGATTCAACCAAGTGAGAAGCATGCCCGGCTCAGCTAACAGCTCCGCCTTTGCCTTGACCTCAGCATAATTCACACATTCTATGAATGGGGGAGCCTCTTCTGTTCTTACCTAGAGGAATGGCGCTTCAATCATCCACAGACGAAACACCTGCAGGAAGGAGTGGGGGAGGGGAGGTCAGCCGGGCACAGGGCAACCGTGGTCCCCCATCCACACCTCCCAAGAGCCAGGGCCCCTCAGACCCCCAGGTGTCAAAGGTCCTGGGGGGCACCGTGTCTTCAAGGGGAGTCAGAGCCCAGTGCTGGACATCACAGGGGCCCCAAGCCTCAAGCCCCCCCCCCTCCCCGTGTTTCTATCTAATCCCAACTGCTCCTGCACCTACCTCCTTACTCATCTCTGCACAGCGGTGGTCACGTGATTCAGGGTGGCTTGGCAGTTTGGGGGCTGCCCTCCCTGGGAACCCTCAGCTGTAAGGCCAGGCCATAGCACCCACACAGGAACCTCCACCTCAGCCAGGCAGACAAGTCACAAACGGCCCCTCAGGTCAAAGTGGCATCAGTGGGGATCAAAACCAATCTGTTTAGCCCTAGCAGGCTTAGCTCAGTGGTTAGCGTTGGCCCATGGACTGAAGAGTCCAAGATTTTGATTCTGGTCAAGGGCAAGTACCTCGGTTCCAGACTCAATCTCCAGTCCTGGTCAGGGAGGCACCCAACTGATGGGTCTCTCCCTCTCCCAGAAAAAAAAGGAAAAATACCCTTGAGTGAGTATTAATAACAACAAAAGCCAACCTCCTTGGTTCTGCCGCCTTCGCTGCAGGGAAGAGAGAACAGAGAGCACCCCATCACCATTCAGCACCCCAGTGTGCATGGAGGTTGCAGAAATGAGACCGGGAAAGCAAAGTCTCTGTACATGCAGGTCCTCAGCTGTGGGACCCGAACAAACCACCCAGCTCCTGAGCACCCACATTGGAACACCACCACAATCTAGGTCTTACTAACTAGAAATCTGTAACATTAGAAATGGAACGTGGTTATTATGGAGTTAAGAAGGTACTTCTGTCCTTACCAAGAAGGATGGGGGCCGGGGGGCTGTTGACTCCTGGAGGAACCACCTGCAGGAAGGAGCAGGGAGGGGAAGCAGTCAGTGGGGGGCAGAGCAATCACGGTCTCCCATGCACCCCTCCTCAGAGCCAGGGTCCCTCAGACCCCAGTGCTGGACATCACAGGGACCCTAGTCCCCCCCCTTCACCCAGGCCCCAGAGACACTTAGCAGCAGTCCTAAGGGGACAACACAGACCCGAACTCAAAGATCCAGGCAGGCCGAAGCCTGCTTGGCTCAGTGGATATATTTTATTTTGTATTTATATAAAATATAAAATTAAAAAAATCAGTAAAAAAAAATCAAAAGAAATAAATATATATATTTAAATATATTTTAATAATTTTCCACAGAGAGGAAGGGAGAGGGATAGAGAGTTAGAAACGTCGATGAGAGAGAAACAAGGATCAGCTGCCTCCTGCACACCCCCTACTGGGGATGTGCCCGCAACCAAGGCACGTGCCCTTGACCGGAATCGAACCCGGGACCTTTCAGTCCGCAGGCCGATGCTCTATCCACTGAGCCAAGCCGGTTTCGGCTCTCCCATCTTCCTAGTAAGTAGTGGACACCATCCCAGAACTTTTCTTGTTTTGAGGCCGACCGTTCAGAGAAAGATGGACAACATGGCGGAGGCCCGGGCAGCGCGCCGCCGAGAAGGCGGAACAGAAAAGGCGGGACAGGCCCCGCCGCTCCGGCGACACGAGTCCTCCCCGTGCGAGCGTCCCCCGCACTCGCTCCAGACGCCCCAGCCCACCCCGCGGGGCGAAGGCCGTGACCCCAAACCACGCGACAACGCCGCCATCCCGCCACAGCCCCGGCACCTGGCACGTCCCGCGGCGCAGCCGGAACGAAACCAAAGAAAAAGGAAGAACTCACCCAACTCGAACTTCCTCCTCTGGGATGGCGGCTGGCCTCGCGCCCCACTTTATAGAGCGCGCCGCCCGCTCGCAAGGACCCCTCCCCTCCCCCGCGGCCAGTCTGGGCTCCGCCCCGAGGCGTCCAGTATTGGCGCCGGTGCCAGAAACCCCGCTTCGGTGCTTGGGGAAGGAACACAATGTTTGTTCCCTGTAGAATCTTCCTGAACGGGACATACTACGTTGCCCCTGTAAGGCGGAGAATAAAAACCAAGGAAATACCGCCGCCTGTTGTCCAGTCATGAGCGTCAGGCAATTCTGTGGACGGCCCCAAAGAAGGAGCGGGCAGGGGGAAGGACCCCGAATTGGGGGCGGGGCCGGGAAGGGGAAACTGGCAATGCCTGAGCCACAGCGCTTGGCGGAAGGGGCGGGGCCGACTCACGCTGTCTTCCCAGCGGCAGAGTGGGGGGCGGGGCCAGAGCTGAGATGGACAGTGGGGAGTTGTGGGAGAGCGAGCGCTCACGTGGCGCGGAGTTAGAGGCTTAGCGTGGACTCCGGGACTGGAAGACTGGACTCTGGTTCGGGGCCGGGAGAGGGGTGGGGTTTGGGGGTGGGGGTGGTGGTGGTGGTGGCTGGGGTCCTGGACTTCCGGGTCCGAGAGAGGAGGGGCTTGGAGGCCTGGACTTCCGGGTTCGAAGGAGGAAGTGCATAGAGGCCTGGACTTTCGGGTCCGAAGGAGGGAGGGGCTGGGGACTGGACTGGGGCTGAGGTAGGACCGGATTTGGGGCTCATTTTCTGGTTTTTATTTTTTATTCTTTTCATTTTTTTTCATTAAGGTATTATATGTGTACATATCTTACCATTTCCCGGTTTTTAAGTCGCCAAAGACCTGGGGGCTGGGTTTCATGGTAGGGTTGGCGATCTAAGGCGTGTCTGCCAACAGACATAATTGTAAAACTTTTTATTTTTTTTTTTTTTTCCAAAGATGAAAAAGGTGCTAAAACTGGTTTGGCGTCCGCCTGTGGACTGAAGGGTCCCAGGTTCTATTCCGGTCAAGGGCATGTGCCTTGGTTGCAGGCACATCCCCAGTGTGCAGCATTGAAGTTTCTAGCTCTCCCTCTCCCTTCCTCTCTGTAAAAAAAAAAAAAAAAAAAAAAAAAAAAAATATATATATATATATATATATATATATATATATATATATATATATATATAATTAAAATAAATAAAAAGATGAAAAAGGAAACTTTTTTATAAAATCAACCCATACACAGAAGGTCGCCGTTGTCCACAATTTGGTGTGGACTCTATGGCCACACACACACACACACACGTACTCCCTGTGTGAACAGAACACATGTTGTTTAGCTGGTTCCCCTTGTCATTTTTTTTTCCTTCCTTCTCGTGGGGAGATTCCTCTCTGTGAGGTCTGTAGTCGGAAGTGCAAGGGAGAGACGCGAACTTCTCTCTCAGGAAAACGAGGCATTTCCTAGGCGGACCGCACGTAGCATGAAGCCAAGCCTTGGCTGTGGCCACCTTCCTCCTCTCCCTTGCCCCTGGTCCTCTTAGGATCTGCCAAGCACAGTTGTACCCCAGGACCTTTGCATTTGCTGTGCCCTCTGCTTGGAACTCTTTCCCCCAATCTAACCCCATTGTGCTCTCTCTCTCTCTCTCTCTCTCAAGATATATTTTATTGATTATTTTTTTTACAGAGAGGAATGGAGAGTTAGAAACATTGATGAGAGAGAAACATCGATCAGCTGCCTCCTGCACACCTACTGGGGATGTCCCCACAACCAAGGTACATGCCCCTGACCGGAATCAAACCTGGAACCCTTTGGTCCACAGGCTGATGCTCTATCCACTGAGCCACACCGGCTAGGGCTCTCTTCCTCTCTTGAGCCATGATTCCGCTCAGGTGTCACCTTAGCATAGAACCCCCTTCCCCCCCAAACCTCCTTCCCTCTGTCTAACAGACAGGTCTCCCTTACACTCCTTTATTTCTCTTCATAGCACGGATCCCTAACAGACCTAACACTTTGCTTGTGGTCATATTACTTTGCCTCTCAGCTGAAATGTCAGTTCCATAAAGACAAGGATTTGTGACCAATTTGATCACTGCTATAGACCCAGTGTCTGGCACATAGTTAAAAATCAGCCTGTGTTAAAAAAAAAAAAAAAAGGTAGCTCAGTTATTCGGAGCATTGTCCTGTACACCAAAAGGTTGCAGGTTCAATCCCTGGTCAGGGCACATACAAGAAACAACCAATGAATGCATAAATAAGTGGAATAACAAATCTTTCTCTCTCCCTTCGTTCTTCCCTCCCTCCTTCCTTCCTCTCTCTCAAATCAATAAATAAAAGTATCATTGAAAAAAATTTGAAAGCTTGGAGAGAATCAGCTATTCAATAAACAGTGATTGCCGAAACCGGTCTGGCTCAGTGGATAGAGTGTCGGCCTGCGGACTGAAAGGTCCCAGGTTCGATTCCGGTCAAGGGCATGTACATTGGTTGCAGGCACATCTCCGGTAGGGGGATGTGCAGGAGGCGGCTGGTGGATGTTTCTCTCTCATCGATATTTCTAGCTTTCTATCCCTCTCCCTTCCTCTCTGTAAAAAATCAATAAAATCTATTTAAAAAAATAAAAATAAACAGGGATTGAGCCCTGTCCAGTGTTTCTCAGTGGTTAGAGCGTGGGCCAGCGCACCAAAGGGTCTTGGATTCAATACCAGGTCAAGGACACATACCTAGGTTTCAGGCTCACTCCCCACCCACGGTTGGGGCGTGTACAGGAGACAACGTCTCTTTCACATCGATGTTTCTCTCTCTCCTCCTCCTCCCTTCCACTCCCCCACCCCCCTCTCTGAAAAGCAATGGAAAAAATATCCTGGTTGGCCTAATTCTCGGCTGACCTTGTGCCTCAAGTCTCTGTCTTGCGATTCCCTTTCCCTTCTAAACCCGTACGTCCCACAGGGCCCAAGGAGGTATGACGATTCCAAGGGACACTTACAAGGTACTAAGCCAAAGGCATGTTCTAGGCAAAAAGTACAGATTTAAAAATACTGGTTAGTAATTGGAGTCGGGGAGACTCAGAGGGCACTGAAAAGGGATAAGGGTCGTGGTGGGTGTGAGGGCCGGAGAGCAGGCTTGTTTGGCTCCTTGGCAGGGAGCGGTGGGAGCAAGAAGGAAGCGTGTAGGGCAGTGGTCGGCCAACTCATGAGTCACCAGACTCATTGTTGTCCGTTGATATTTGGCTCATGGGGTCCTTCCCATGTCCTAAGTCCAGATGCCCCGTGGTGCCAGGATGGACCAGAAATTCATGTAGTTCATGTAGGAAATTAAACCTGAGGGAGGAAGGAAGCAGAGGGGGTGAGATATAGCATTCACCAGCCCCACCTTGATCCCAGTCCTCTCCCCAGGCCCAATGATACCCCCCCCCCACTGTCCCCACATCCATCCCCCTACACCCAACCTCAACCCCATTCCCTACACCAGTGGTCGGCAAACTGCGGCTCACGAGCCACATGCAGCTCTTTGGCCCCTTGAGTTTTTAGCAAAGGCCAGCTTAGGAGGACCCTAATTAAGTTAATAACAATGTTCCTACCTATGTAGTTTAAGTTTAAAAAATTTGGCTCTCAAAAGAAATTCCAGCCGAAACCGGTTGGCTCAGTGGATAGTCAGCCTGTGGACTGAAAGGTCCCAGGTTCGATTCTGGTCAAGGGCATGTACCTTGGTTGAGGGCACATCCCTGGTGGGGTGTGTGCAAGAGGCAGCTGATCGGTGATTCTCTTCCATCGGTGTTTCTAACTCTATCCCTCTCTCTTCCTCTCTGTAAAAAAATAAAAATAAAAAAAAAAAAAATAAATAAAATATATTTTAAAAAAGAAAAAGAAATTCCAATTGTTGTCCTGTTGATATTTGGCTCTGGTGACTCAAGAGTTGGCCGACCACTGCCCTACACGGTCTGAACCCATTTCCAAATTCAACCCCACCCCCAGTGCCATTTCATCCCCTGCTCTGTCCCCAACCCTTTCACCTACATTTTCCTCCACCCTCCACCTTCAAACCCAAACATAACCCGTCCCCTACCCTCTACCCCTTATCCGTTTCCAAACCCAAACCCAGCCGCATCCTCATCCCTAACTCCTTCCCAGGCAATCCCCATCGATATCCCTGAACCCTGTCCAAACCCAAGCCCCGTCCCGGCTCAGACCGATCGTCATGAAGGAGAAGATGCCGATCCACGCCAGGTAGAAGCTGTGCCCCAGGCTGTAAGTCATGCCCTCCTGCAGGAACTCATGGGCCTGCAGCAGGTAGAACAGGACGCCCAGCACCATGCTGGTCCCTGCGGGAGGAGTACAGGCGTTAGGGGGCTGGGCAAGCAGGTGTGTGAAGACCCTAGCCCACGGTTGTGTCACTGCCTGGCTCTTGCCCATCATCTCCCAACTTCCTTTCCCTCCCTGTATCTCTGCGCCCCACGCAGGGTCAGAGGCTCCCGACAATGTCATGGTAGATGACACTGGGAGTGCAAGTCTTGGTCTTTCTTTTTTTAAAATATATATTTTATTGACTTACAGAGAGGAAGGGAGAGAGATAGAGAGCTAGTAACATCGATGAGAGAGAAACATCCATCAGCTGCCTCTTGCACACTCCCTACTGGGGATGTGCCTGCAACCAAGGTACATGCCCTTGACCGGAATCGAACCTGGGACCCTTCAGCCGGCAGGCAGACGCTCTAGCCACTGAGCCAAACCGGTCAGGGCCATTGGATGATTCTTTTTTTTTTTTTTTTTTTTTAAACTTGATCTTTCTTTCACTTGATCTTAGCCAAAAGGCCGAGATGCGATAATCTGATCTATCTTTCTTTCTTTCTTTCTTTCTTTCTTTCTTTCTTTCTTTCTTTCTTCCTTCCTTCCTTCCTTCCTTCCTTCCTTCCTTCCTTCCTTCCTTCCTTCCTTCCTTTCTTTTTAAAAATATATTTTATTGATTTTTCACAGAGAGGAAGAGAGAGGGATAGAGAGTTAGAAACATTGATGAGAGAGAAACATCCATCAGCTGCCTCCTGCACACACCCTATTGGGGATGTGCCTGCAACCAAGGTACATGCCCTTGACCGGAATTGAACCTGGGACCCTTCAGTCGGCAGGCTGACGCTCTAGCCACTGAGCCACACCGGTCAGGGCCATGGATGATTCTTGGATGTGCCCTGACTGAGGCTAAAACTCACAACCTTGGTGTGTCAGGACGATGCTCTAACCAACTGAGCTTCCTAGCTCGGGCCTGGGTAGCTTTTTTTCTCTCTTTATTTTCACAGCATAGGATGTGCTTCCCACTTAATTAAAAGGTAGACTGGGCGGAGGCTATTTCCTTCTAAGAAAATGTCCTAGATTGGATGAGTTAAAACCGAGGTGTTGTCAAAACCGGTTTGGCTCAATGGATAGAGCGTCGGCCTACAGACTGAGGGGTCTTGGGTTCAATTCCGGTCAAGGACATGTACTTTGGTTAAGGGCACATCCCCAGTAGTGGGTGTGCAAGAGGCAGCTAATTGATGTTTCTCTCTCATCAATGTTTCTGACTCTCTATCCCTCTCTCCCTCCCTGTAAAAAAATCAATAAAATATATATTAAAATAAAACCGAGGTGTTTTTCCACCCCAGGTCCCCTGTATTTGAACAACCGGGAAGAGTTAACCCACAAACTGGACACATGACATTTGCTAACGAGGACATGGGATGCCGAGTGGCCACCCATCGTGGCTTTACTGTCACTCTCCAAAAATGCTCTCTTGCCGCAACTGAAGGTTGTGGTCAGTTACTGCAAGAGAAGACAATGTCCTTCATTTCCAAACCAGAGTGCTCCCCAAAGCCGAAACCAGTTTGGCTCAGTGGATAGAGCGTGGGCCTGCGGACTGAAAGGTCCCAGGTTCGATTCAGGTCAGGGGTATGTACCTTGGTTGCGGGCACATCCCCAGTGTGGGGTGTGCGGGAGGCAGCTGATCGATGATTCTCTCTCATCAATGTTTCTGACTCTCTGTCCCTCTCTCTTCCTTTCTGTAAAAAAATCAATAAAATATATTTAAAAAACAACAAACAAACAAACAAACAAAACACACACACAGAGAGACACAAAGCTGCTCTGCGGCAGCTCCCTTTTCTAGAATGTGTGATTTGACATGCAAATGGAACCAAACTATCCTCATCAGAATATAAATTCCTAGTTACTTGGGTGGGCATGTGGCGATAAGGACCTGTACAGTATCTACATCGGGTACTGACATCTCCCAGTTCAGTCCCCTCGACTTCTCCACGTGGTAGGAGGTTTTACTCCGACCCTACTGAGAGAAGGAGGCTCAGGAAGAGGAAGAAGTCACAGGGGGTGGCGGGGCGGCGGGATTTGGGGTGGGGGTGGGGCTGGGACTGGAACCAGAGGTGGGTCCTCAGTAGAGGTGGGAGTCTGAGTGACCAGGATAGAGGAGGCTGAGGTTGGGGTTGGTGTTGGGTGGTGGTTGGGGTTCAGGATGGACTGGAGACTTGGTCAGAGGATGGAGCTGGGTAGGGGTTCAGCTGAGTTTCAGAGTGAGGCTCACAGGTGGTCGGGATGGGGTTGCAGTTGGCTGTTGACATTGGTGGCTTGGATACTGGAGAGAAGATTGAATGGGCCTGGACATCATGGAAGGGGGAGGTGGATGTGTTTGCGATGTGTTGGTGATGGAGCTGGGGAGGGAAGTGGGGGGTGGAGATGGGGTTAGGCTGAAAATTATATATATTTATTTTTTTATTGGGATGAGTTTGCTGACCACTGCCAGGGGCTTAATCACAAGGAAAAACAACAGCTTGTAATGACTAGAATGGAGAGTCTAGGTCCATTTGCCAACCATTGGGTTAGGAGATGGGATCTGAATTGGGACTAGAGGTGAGGATGGGGGGGGGGGGCGTGGTTGGAGTTTGGTGGGAGGGGGTAGGGTGCCGTGGTAGGCCCTGGGCATGGTTCGCCTTGTCCTAGGGTCCCTCTGGGCAGGGCCAAACTGCCATGCCTGTCAGGTTGCTGAGGATGATGTTGGAGAAGTCCAGCAGGGACACGCTGGAGCCGCTGAAGAAGGTGATGTTTATGAGGATGAGGAAGAGGCAGAAGCTGGTGAAGCTGGAAATGAAGAGGAAGGCCCAGGCAGAGTCCAGCAAGTCTAGGGAAGGAAGAGAAGCGGGGTCAGCGGGATGAGGGTCATGTCAGTGAGGATGAGCACAGGGCAGCGGGGATGGTCCTGCAGCAGGGAGCGACCACCCTGGCGGGGAGGGAGGCTGACCCAGAGGAAGTGAGGGCAGTGGGGTCATCCCAGGGAAGGCGGAAAGGGGGTCCCCCTAAGGCAGAGGAGGAATGAGCTCCGGAAATGGTGTGTCTCCTTGGGCAGGCCTTACAAGCTTTGTAGTCTTGCTCGTGCGGGCAGGAGATGTCAGAACACCGCACAAAGAAGATGGTGTTGATCGGCATGGTCCGGGGCGGGGGGTCAGCGGGACCCCCAGGGGGCTCCAGGGGCACCTGGAAGTGGACCCAGGGCTGGCCCAGGGTGATGAGACCGATGATCATCATGCCCAACACGCTCAGCGCCAGGCTCAGCTGGCGGCTGATCTTCTTGGCTTCATGCAGCATCTTTGTGCCTAAGGGCAGCTGTGAATATTTCCGTTTACCCGCTTCCAGAAACCTGCGGCAGATATTCCCACCGACAGCGTCAGCGCCGAGTCCAGCTCCCCAGCCCAACCGTCCCAGGTCCAGCTGCCAGACCCAGTCCCACCCAGTCCAGCCTTCGGACTCTTATCTTCTCGACTAAAAGCCCGCGGCACGAAGATTCCTGCACCTGGCCTTCCTTCTCCTGGCTGCCGTCACCGGTTCTCCTCCGGCACCCGGGACCCAAGCCTTTAGCCTTCAGGCTTGGCTCTGACTGTAGCGGAACCTTCAGGCTTCCGTCTTCGCTCCATGCCTGCATATGCAAATGAACCCAACTGCTTTGTTAGGTTAATTTGCATACCCACTCCTGATTGGCTGGTGGGGAGGCCTCATGGAGGTATGGTCAATTTGGCATATTCCTCTTTTTTTTTTTTTAAATATATTGTATTGATTTTTAAAAAAATATATATTTTATTGATTTTGTACAGAGGGGAAGGGAGAGAGATAGAGAGTCAGAAACATCGATGAGAGAGAGTCATCGATTAGCTGCCTCTTGCACACACCCTACTGGGGATGTGCCCGCAACCAATGTCCATGCCCTTGACCGGAATTGAACCTGGGACCTTTCAGTCCGCAGGCCGACGCTCTATCCACTGAGCCAAACTGGCTTCGGCCATACTCCTCTTTTATTTGTGTAGATGTCCATCCTCTACCAGGTGTCGGCAGCCTATGGCTCCAGAGCCGCATGCGGCTCTTTTTAAGCTTTGCCGCGGCTCCGACAGCAGGGCCGACACTAGCAGGGCCGATAGCAGGGCCTGTATCACTTACCTCCGCCGCCTCCAGCGCTCCTGGCGCTCTGTGTGTGTTTTTCCTTTGGAAAGGGGTCCAAGTGGCTCTTTATGTCTTAAAGGTTGCAGACCCCCGTATCCCCCAGGTCCTGCCTCTGGGACATGCCCTCCAGGCTCCCTTCTAGCTTCCAGACCCTGCCACCCCAACATTCAGTCTCCAGGTTCTGCGTCATGCCCTACCCCCCAGGGCCCGTCGTCACGTCTAGCCTCCAAGGCCTGCCACCCCTAGGTCCAGGCTCCAGTCTCTGATATGCCAGCCACGTTCTGGTCCCCGTCTGTCTCCCCCAGCCCCCAGTCCCCAGCCCCCAGCCCCCAGCCCCCAGCCCCCAGCCCCCAGCCCCGATTCTAACCCGGAACCCGGCCTTCCGCCCGGACCCCTGCCTCTTACCTGGCAGAACAGGCCTCTGCGGGGCTGCCTGGCAGCATGCTGCTGTCGCTATCCGGGGCATTTTTGCTGAACTGGAGGTTGTACAGAGACGTTTTTAATTCCTCCTGGGAGCTCCAGAGAATTGACTCCATGCTTTCCATGCTGGGCTCGGGGCTGTAAGTAATGGAAGGGGGGACATCCACACTGGCCCGGTTTGGACCCTTGAGGCCTTGATACCGGGGTACGGCCAAGGTGTCTTGACTGTTCTGACTGCTGTAGGCAACTGAATCGAAATAGGCCAAGAGGCTGTGGGGCATCGCCAGAGGCCTTGGGACACCGGGGCCGCAGATTTGGAGACTCGGGGCAGGTTGGGTGCCCACAGGGGAATCGTAGGTAACCAGCGGCAGCGGCTTCGGCGGCGGCGGGCGGCGGCGGCGGCCGGCGCGGCTTCACGTCTTGGGTGCTGCCTTGCTGACTGCTGCTAACGGATGGCGCCTCTTGGATACTTTTTTGGATGATGCTACCGACGAGAGGCGCCCCTCTGATGCTGTCCCGGAGAGTGCTGTCCCTGGCTACCAGCTCTTGGGCGCTGGGCCGGCGAGGGCGCAAGGTGGGCGGAGGCTCTTGGATGCTGACCCGGCGGTCGTGGAGGACCGGCGGAGGCTCTTGGATGCTGACCCGGCGGGCGAGGGCGAGGGCGGGGGTCTCCTGGATGCTGACCCGGCGAGTGCGGACGCTGGGCAGGTGCTCCTGGATGCTGACCCGGCGGGCGAGGGCGAGGGCGGGGGTCTCCTGGATGCTGACCCGGCGAGTGCGGACGCTGGGCAGGTGCTCCTGGATGCTGACCCGGCGGGCGTACACCATGGGCAGGGATTCCTGGACGCTGACCCGGCGGGCGTACACAACGGGCAGAGGCTCCTGGACACTGACCTGGCGGGCGTGGGAAACGGGCAGAGGCTCCTGGACGCTGACCTGGCGGGCGTGGGAAACGGGCAGAGGCTCCTGGATGCTGACCTGGCGGGCGTGGGAAACGGGCGGGGGTTCTAGGATGCTGACCGGGCGGGAGTGCAAGATGGACTGAGGCTCCTGGACGCTTAACCTGTTGGGTCTGGGCAAAGGGCCTGAGGCCTCCTCATCTTGGGCGGCGTTGTCTGGGTCTTCCCGGAGGTCGTTGGACTGGCTGCCCTGCTGGCCGGGCTGGGACTTCTGGGACATGGGGGTGGCAGAGGGCCAAGCCTGGCCCTAAGAGGCATGCAACGGTCTGCCAACTGCCTCGGGCCTTCTTTCCTGGCCCCCAGAAGTCCGTCGGTCTCTCTCTCTCCGGGGTTCGGGCCCTGTCCCTCTGGCTTTTGACCTCTTTGTTCTTTCTTCGGCGTTTCTCGGTCTCCCCTGCTGTCCTCCGGCAAGCCTGGAGGCTCCAGACTGGCCTGCAGCTGGGGCTGGGAGGAGGTTCCGTGGCAGTTGGAGAGAGGTTCCAGGAAGTTGGGACATTGGCCATGGACTCCTCCTGCCCAGAAGACCTGTGTGAGTGACGTGGGGGTTGGGACGGAGGCTCAGTGTGAGGTCTGGGCAGGGGCAGGGATTGGGATACGAAGGGGTCAGTCACAGCTGGGTCAGAGAGGTGTCAGGGCAGGGCAAGGGGTGGGCTGGGAGGTAGGGAGCAATCTCACGGTGGAGAAATTCATGCACCGGAGCCGAAGGGGGTGTCCCTCAGCCCAGCCTTGCAGTCCGGGGACCCCTTTTGGGGATGTCTGCCTGCCCCCAGGGATTGGGCCTAAGCGGGCAGTCAGACATCCCTCTGGCTGTCTGGGGCTCTCGTGATCTGCCGGGACCCCTCGCTCCTTAGCCGCCCGCCTGCAGCGAGGTGGGCGAGGCTCCCGCTGTGCTCCCCCCTGTGGGAGCTCCGCCATGACCACCAGGGGGCAGCTCCCGCATGGAGCGTCTGCCCCCCTGGTGGCCAGCGTGCATCAAAGCGACCGGTCGCTCTGCAGCTTGTTCCGCCATTTGATCAGTTTGCATGTTAGGGTTTTGTTGCCTAGGATTCCCGTGCCCCTCCTGGCTCCCTTTCTGTCTCTGGCTCTGGCTCCGTGCACCAGTCCCTGAGGCCTCAGAGACCCAGAGAAGATGGGCTGCTGTCCACCCTCCAAGACCTACCATTCACAGCACAAGGAGGGCCCCAAAGGAGCCCAACAGGGGTGCAGGGGCCCTAACTCACATGTGCAGGCTTTCCCATCGGGAGTGGAGACCTGCAAACTGCTGTCTCCCCTCTTCCTTCCCTTCGGCTTTTGTGGGGATCGTTTGAAAAGCGAACAACCAGCCAACCAAACAACCCCCCACCGACCGTCCTATCGTTAATTGCATGAGCATCCGTTGAACTGCTCTATGCCTCTGTTTTCTCATCCGTCCGTGAGGATGAAACAGGTGAACGGCATGAAAAAAAAAAGAAAAGAAAAGAAAAGAAAAAGCACTTAGAATCCATTGTGGCAAAAACCTGTTGAATTTTTTTTAAAAAAATATATTTTATTGATTTTTTACAGAGAGGAAGGGAGAGGGATAGAGAGCTAGAAACATCGATGAGAAAGAATCATCGACCAGCCGCCTCCTGCACACCTCCTACTGGGGATGTGCCCGCAACCAAGGTATTATACATGCCCTTGACCGGAATCAAACCTGGGACCTTTCAGTCCGCAGGCCGATGCTCTAGCCACTGAGCCAAACCGGTTTCGGCTCCCCTGTGTTCACGCCTTTGACACCATGGGTCATGGCCTTGTGAACACGCTCTGGAACCCGTGTCATTGTCGTGTGTGTCCTGGGTTGGGATTCATGACGATGTCCAAGGAGCTAAGGGGAGGATGAGGTCAAGAGTGGGATGGTTCTAGCAAGGGCTTGGGGAATAGTGTCGGGAGGATGGGCTTGAGCTTGGATTAGGGCTGAGGGTGGGGGAGAGGGGGATGAGTTGGGCGTGAGGGTTGGGGATAGGAACAGGGATGTGATTGGGGTTGAGGAAGGAGACCCTGGTGGGTGGCACGGGGCTGTGAATGGTGCCGAAAACTGGGGATGGGACAGGAGCCGAGATGGGGACGAGGAGTTGGCATCGGGTTGGGGCGGAAGGGGGATTGAGAGTGGGGTGAAAGGGGAGGCTTGGGCGGGGACGGAGACACGGCTGCGCTCAGGGATGGGCACAGGCCGACCCCCACCCCCACCCCCGTACTGAATTCTTTCCCAGCGAACCCCAACTACTCCTGGGAGGAGGACAGAAAGTACGTCCTGCGGGGCTGGGCCCTGCTCTTCAGCGTCCTCGCCACCCTGATGCTGCTCAGCGCGCTGGACGGGCGGATGGCCTACCTGAGGGGCTCCTACACTGGCTACATGGGCGTGTGGATTAACTGCAAGAGATACAACTGCCCCAAACTGGACCAGGTCAAGGGTCAGTGGGGCCAGTGGGCGGGGCTGTGGGGGCAAGCCGCAGGGGGCTCCGTGGAGAGGATCAGGGGCAGGGATCTTCAGGGGTGGGGGTGGGGGCTAGGGGGGAATCTTTTCAGTGCCTTTGAGAGAGGGACTCTGGAGATTCTCTGAAGGCCTTGTGAGGGGGTCTCCTCCAGTCTTTTCTCCTTCTTCTTCTTCTTCTTCTTCTTCTTCTTCTTCTTCTTCTTCTTCTTCTTCTTCTCCTCCTTCTCCTTCTTCTTAATATATTTTATTGATTTTTTTATAGAGAGGAAGAGAGAGGGATAGAGAGTCAGAAACATCAATCAGCTGCCTCCTGCACACCCCACACTGGGGATGT